CAAATTATTTCATAACGTCTAAATGTACGTTATATCTGTTCCTTGCTTGTTTCCTTTACCACCGACCCTAAGTTGAGCCGTTACCGTGTTGTGCAGTAAATTTATTTATCCCGATTCTTTGTTACATCCAACTCATAGTCCTATGTCGTTATGTTTTACCTAAAACTTATTACTTTCGACATGTAGATAGACAAGGGAAGAATAATTTATCTACTAAAGCGATTAAACTACGTCCAGGTTTGCAAATATACCATTGGAAACAGTAAAGGTTACTGCGCTTATGATTACTACTGATTTAAGGACCGTTATATGTAAATTATTCGACAGGAGTATCATATATCTCAGTTCATGCTTGTCGGAATTTCTTACGAGCGGTCCAACACTTAGTTTAGAACGAAAATTTCGGTGGGCTTGCCGGCTATTTCAAATGTTTATAGGTTGATGATTACCGGAGAGCTGTAAGGGCCAAACTGCAGATATTCGATTTCAATCCGATGTCACTACACTACTCTACCACCAGAATGAACATGATGTTGGTTCGATACCAAATTGGATGGGATTGTCGCGCGCCGAGGGTTGCCAAGAATGATAAGAATCCACCGGGTATTGGTAAGCTGGAAGATAAATAAAAAAAGGAGTCAGAATCCGGTCGGGAAATACATATAACAATTTTAAAACGTCTGGTTTAATGCCTAACACGCTTAAAATGAAAATTTAGGTAAAGATTATTTGAGCTAAACAAAGTGGGATTATAATAATAAAATGATTCAGTATATTTTAATAAAGTGCCGTAAGATACGTAGTGATATCCGTAGGTTAATAACATTTCTTGTTTAGGAATATTAAAAAAACAGCCAATATTAGAGAAATGTTAAAAGTGGTATTATATTTGGTCTAAATTATGAAATCAAATAACGTATTTGCCGGTAAGTTGTCCATGCGTTGATTTCCAATTGCATCTGTATTAGTACGCTAACTGAAAGAACAAAAGTATAAGCGCGGAGAAGAATTCCAACTAGTTTTCCAGTTAGTTTGATACGGTTTATTTAGATATGGGGAGATTTTCTCGACCTCATTTTTACTTGACCGTGATAGAATTTAGTAATACAACTAATACATATGAATTGTTATCCAAAATTTTTAAATACGTGAAAAGTAATAATTATGTGGATTTCGGACAGATAGATAAGAGCAATTCGTTAAACATGAGTGTATCCGTTAGAAATATGCTCTAGACTCAATGTTCTGACTTATCTTAGACTATTTATTTATATCTATACCTAATAGCTGATGGTGCAGTATGATAATACCTAGATTTGGTGACTTTATTATCCCTCATATGTTCGTCTTTTTAGACTACTAATACACTAGAACAATTCATAAACCCAAATACATATAGCAGTAATGACTATGATGGGTTTATTGAAAATGTTAAAGGCGATTCAGATTATTTTTAAATTTAAAAGACATAGAGATATGATGCAACGCATGTACGGGCCAGGTTAACATGCAGGTTGTTGAGGTATATGACAATTTAAAAATAATAAACATGACCAGAAAAATAATTGTAAAGTTAAGACTGCTTATAAAACTTCAGGCAGGATTATGACGCGTTATAAACTTTCCACAAGAAGTTCCTGCATTTAGCCTAGTGGCACTTACAAATATGTGGCAAAAGCAATAAAATATATATGTTAAGTTTAAAAAACTCATCCAGTAAAATAGTTAAACTCGCCTGGATAATTTTCGAAAATTAGATTATTCAGTAGACGACATATGTAACGCCATTCGTGAAAAGTAATGATCCAAAAGCATCCACAATAAAACATGCAGTACGTAATTAATTCCAGGGTCCTTGGTGCCGCTGACGTTTTTGTCACTTGCTCGGATCAGGACAATTGAATGAATCCAGGTAATTGTGTGGTTGCCACTGAACAAGCCATCTAAGATGACCTTATGATTGCAGAAAACTTATAGCTGAAACTCACAGTATGTTTTTATAGTATTGTCATCCTTGTTGTTTGGCAATGGAACTCAAGAATATGAAATTAGGCAGGCAGTGGTCGGGAAAAAATATGACAGGATAGAATGATGAGTTAAGTGAAGAAACAACATGGAAAATCAGATCAAGATAACAGCAGATATTCGATTTCAATGCAAAAAGTGAACCTGTAGAATTATGGTCTGCTATGATATTAGCACTGCTCTAATAACAGACCTAATCCTAAAATCGCAGATTTGTTATGATGTAACTGCCTAATCTATAAGATCTTACGTGGAAGTCACATCATCATCTACACCAACTCACTGCGTCGTAACAATTACCAATATATGATATAGAACAATCTTAGGCTAGAGATGGAACAATATATTTAATATGAACAAAAGACATAACGTAACATTTAGCAGGAGGGACCACGCCTGCATGGTCGAGCCATGCCATAAGATTAACCTCGATTAATTCAATTCCTTATTCCCACATTCTCCATTGTTGGGTATTCCTCCGCGTTAAATATTGAATATCTATTTTCCGAGTAGTTTCGTGTTCAGCTATGAGGATTGTGTGGTTATGATCCGATGCCACTACAAACCAACGAGCAGAGGTTTATACGACTACACTAAGCTGCTTACTAATTGGTGGTGCAGAAAGCACTTTTACCCCCATTACTTACTAACACTTGTTATCCCTCGTGGTGGAGCATAGTCCACCCACCAACATTCTCCATCCAACTCTGTTCTGAGCGATCCTTTCCACTTATTTCCAGCCGCTATTCATCCTTTTCATGTCTGCTTCTAATTCTCGGCTCAATGTATATTCTGGTGATCCAGAAAACTTCTCGCGAAAGACAAAAAAGGTTCATGAAAAACTGAGAAGCATTTTATCTAATCAGCGTTCACTTGAAGTTTAGCCAGAAACATCAAGAAAGTGGGAAGTTACATGTAGAGTTTCTGGTTGGCTGATTACTGTACTGCTACTATGTTTAGTAGCATTCCAGAATTTTCGAGAGACCCAAGGACATCTAAAATACTACAAAGGCCCTATATTTTCTGTACTAAAATGAACCTTTGGAGTCAAGTGCTTATCAATGTGTTTAAATGGCTTTCCTCTTTTCCTTTTCACTTCAGGATTCCAAGTTAGCGCTTGCCTCGTGGTGAAGTTTGATGACTTCCTGAATGTATGTCCTATCCACATACAGCGTCTTTTCCTAATTTCCACCTCAGCTGGAAGTTGGTTTATTCTCTCCCACAGTAGGCTGTTACTGATGGCATCTAGTTAACGGACATTGAGTATCTTGCACAGACAAATTTTCATAATTACTTGTAGATGTTTAATGATGGCTGTAGTAAGACTGTAGGACTGTCTTGACGTTCGTATTGAGAATTTGAACTTTGGTATTGGTTGACAGTTGTTTTGAATCCATCACTTGTACTCCATGATTATATGAAAATAAGCTTGTACTTAATTTATGTGATTATAATTCCATATAAAATTAAACTAGAAAAAGACGATATGACTCAAAAGTACGGGCTACTCTGTACCATTTAAGGCTTATTTGGTGGAAATGAACGCACAATACAATAAAAGATGATTAATAAATAAAACAATTATTTGAGAGTTAAAAAGAATATTTCCAACAAAATTAAATCGATTTTCTATCTGGAAGGACTGAAAAGCAACATTGACGAACAGTTACACCCTGTAAAACTGAGTTTAGTAAAACGAGATACTGTAAGTGATCCAATTGCATGTAAGGACAAGAATAAATCATTAGAGAGAATTTTCAAAGTAATGTAGGGAAGATTTGGTCAAAAAAGATCGCAAAACACAAAATCTTTGGTCGCACAATCTTAGATAGAAGTTAACATAGAATGCAGGCAAAAAAATAAAAGCACCTCAGAAGGATCCTCAAAACATTCATTCCATCACATTAATTCAGGCATTGCATAGATGGAGTAATCTAAGTCAACCAACTATAGTAAATCTATTGATACATACCACCACAGAGCGATGGATAACCAACGAAGAATTGTTTACTTTAAAAAGGACATACGAATAGTATCTCACTTTTTCTCACCATCAGTCTGTCATCCTTCATTATCCTGCTCAACTGATGAGACTAAAACCCTTTGGTAGATAATTTCGCAAATGTTAGAAAAGTAAAGTACGTGAGCTAGATTATTTTAAGTCATCCACAAGACCATGTATTAAACTAAAGTAGGCTATCTTAGTCGATGATTGGTGGTCTACTTCAGTAGGACGGGATGAGACAGCTTGCGTCGAATTCACACCTCACGGTTAATACCTTAATTAGATTACCCTTTCGTTACATCCAGATACTATAGCTACTTTGATGACCTTACGACACAAACAATGCTACCACTGAACTGCACTGATAAGAGAGGTTACAAAAAGTGTGCGACCACTGCTGCATGGGACAGTCCATAGCAATCAATTGATTGATGGGCGTTGGTTGTCGTTAACCCTAACATGGACCACCAAAATGTTCTAAATTTAGTGACCGCACTACCGGATGTCTTGGTAAGGGCCGTAACATTTCATGGGAATTACGAACAGATGAAATTTTTAGTAAGCAGAACAGGAAGGCTTTGGTTTCATTGGTTTGATCTTCACGATATCTTATGACAAACTTAACATTTTTTGTTATTAAAACATTCCAGCCTATATTGAATTTCACAGTTTTCACCTATTAGCTTATTTCAGTGGACATATATACGATGTTATTTCACCATATTGACTGAGTTACTGACAATTGTTTTCTTCCTACCATTCTTTTATACTCTAGTTTTAGAATCCTATTACAAACAATCGAAAGATACCTCAGTGAAATGGTGGTCTCAAGTTTCCACATTTTCACCGTTCTGAAATTTAAACACAAATCTAAAAATCAGAACATCTGTGGTGGTCGATAAGTCCTGAAATTAAATAATACTTCAAGTCTTCGTCATTGATGCTGACCTCAATAAGTTGACTGGAGACACCTTAACTGAAGACACTTTCTCAAACATCACATCAGATCACTAATGGGTGCGTAATGCTACGTAAACCTTAGAATGGTGGTCAGTTAGCTCATATGGTATTCAATGTTTCCAAATAATTGAGCAATTTGCTTGGAACAGGACAGTTGAGTGGCTAGAATACCTTCATTGTCATAACTTGGGCTGCAAAACTGCTTATTAAAACCAAGATAAAAGTATACGCAAAGCGATAAGTTTATACGAATTTTTCACGTTGTTTTTGAATACCGAGACATAAACAACCGTTGTCATAGTAACCGTAAATTCAACGTTGTTGAAAAAGTCAGATGGAGAATACAAAGCCAACTGGGATGCGGCGTGCATCTCATTGGTCTACTGAAGTAGAGAATGCATACAGGTTTCAGTTGGCAGGTTACAGGGATGAAGTGGAATATTTTGTAAGTTTTTACGTCTTATATTATGTACGAATGTTTTGAGAACTATAATAATGCTGACCCTGAGAAGTGGACAAATACGGGATTTGTCAAAAAATTGAAGCGACGAGATGGTCTGTTCTACTATTTTAACAAGAATAGGGAGTGTTCAGACAAAGATATACCGAAATGCAAACTATACGTATATTAACAAACAAAATACAATTCAGATAATAATATCCACTAAACTTTATTTCTAGAAGTTCTTAACAGTGCATACCCTGTTTAACAAAGGGTGTGAAAATTTTACGCGAGGGAAAAGCAACAAACATTTAATTATTACAACCACAAAATTTATTGATGTTACTTCGCTTGTTTTTTCTACATAATACAAGAGATTTACTGCAATCCTCTGACTTTTTGGTAAAAGAAAAGCTTTTGTCGATTATGAATGGTTGGGTTGACTGCACACATAGTCTGATAATAGTTGAAGCGAATATTTTTCTTCAACTTAGTCGAAGGATAAAGAAGAGCATTGTGTATTGTTTGACAGTTTAGCTAAATGCTACATATTCAGTTTAAAGAAATCTTAAGAATGAAAAGCCATTTTGAATTGTGACGATGAGGATGCCTTGTTTAACCTTCAGGGTCTGGTACTATGTCAAGCTTACATAGGTTATTATATCCTTTGGACAGACCAATATATTTATTCTTCTGGAGCCATATTTTGATCTTGTTAATTAATTGCTCATCAACCCTAACCGTTTTTACGTGGGCGTATGTGTGTGCATTTCTTACCTTACTCATCACATGTTTGTGACTTATTTTTGTTTGACTATAAATATCGATTGACGTTCGGTTAAATCAACTTGGTTTACTCGCCTTCCCCACCGCGTATCAATTTGTTTTGCTTTGCCATCCCCTCTCCGTCTTCTTTGCTTCGTCTCTTTGAACGTCTATTCTTATCAATGATTGTACAAAATATACGTATTCAAAACTCCATTCTCTTATTTGAATTATTTGAATTCCGTTATTCGCTAACGCTAGTTAAGTCGATAAATATGTACGGAATTGGCGACATGTATATTTCGATAGCAATCAACATACGGTCAAATTGGAGTCAGGTAATGGACCACAAAATGCCTTGTCCCCAAATGTATTTTCTGAAGGAGCGGCGGCCATGCGTTTAGGCAAACGTTTTCATTCTTAAATGATTCGACAAAAAATTTGGTAATCAGGTGAAAAGCGATTGATAATGAGCCAGCACTGAGTAGTTCTGATAATTCAGCTTGATTTAATCCGTCTATGTATGACCCACCATTGAGTTTTGTTGGAAAGTCTTTTACGTTTTATGTGTGAAACGATCCATATTTGACTTACCAGATACTATATTTTTCAATGTCTCTTCACTGAGACTGTGTGTCAGTAAACTTGGTTCGTGAGAATTGTTACCCGGTCACACTAACGAAGTAAGTCAAGAAGTCAGTTGCGATCAATACAATTCAATCAAGACTGGGTGGAATGAAAGACTATGGAAATTATTTACGAATAAATGAAAGAAGAGTAAGCAAAGACTACACTAGGAGACTCTGTTATTCACCGCCATCTGTATGCATCAATAAATTACTCCCAATCCTTGTTGCCTAATCCAGATAGAAGTCGGGTACATGGAACTTTACCATAACCGTTACTGAAATGGGTGAAGATTGCATCTTTTGATAACCTGTGATATGGGATGCCAGTGGATGTTTCTTTGTCACTAACAACTTATAAGCCTGAGAAACCAATTCGGAAAACATGCTGTTATTTAGAGTACCAAGATCTTTCACAGTTGCTTAAATAGTTGTTTTCGAATAACCTCTTTGAATCTTGACAACCATGTCAGGTAAACTTACTAGACAATAGTTTTCAGAACCGAACAAAGCAATTATTTCAAAGATAGGATACAGTAAAGTATGTTTCAATTATCTAGCTAGTTTCACTGGGTTCTAGGCGTGTTTAAAGAAAGTAAAATATTTGGTGGTGAGTAGTCTCGGTTTATGTAATAGCCTTGGAAGTATTTTGTCAAGTTTATTCATTAGTCCGCGGGGTGTCAAGTTATCAGTTGGGCACCGTCCTTAGATCGAATTTGATCTAGTTAGGGTATATGCATACGGGTGAGTGCAAAATGGACCGACATCGATTATAGTGATCATTATTAAGATTGAACTGCAAGGGATGGGATTTGTCAAAGTAACGTAAATGTGAATTTAAAATCTATTTTTAACTTTCTATAACATGTCCAAACATTCAGTTCCAATGAATTTCAACGAACTTTCAATTTTTCGGATGAGTAAGGTCAATACTTTTGCCATACCATTTTAGGAAGATCTCTGACAACTGAATGTTGCACAATACAATTTTCAAAATTCGACCGCAGTGGTCTCCTTATCTTGATGCTCAAATAGTTTCAAAACAGTTTTTTGGTACATTGCTTTTTTCTCCACTTTCTGTGCATAATGGTCACTCGATTAAACCGTTAAACTCAGATACGACATCAGCAATTGGTACCAAACGTATTACTGCCAACTGACTGATATGGACATCAAATTTTCTGTTGGTTGTATGATGTTGTTGAAGGTATCATGTTTGCCGCGGCTTTTGACACTTAAATTGGTTCAGATGTAATAAAAAACATTGCTGTACTTCATTTCGAAACTCTTTGGAATGCCGATAAACCTGAATGTTCGTAATTGATCTTGTTAATTGGTGGGTTTAAAGTCAAACGGAGTTCATTCGACTTTTAAAAGGTGTGTACATACGAATTCATATCCTCATCTCACATTAAAATGTAAATTAGGCGAATAATAAAATTGAATTCCGTACGGTGAATTGTGTATACCTGAGTAAACAAAAGCGAGGTGGTCTTAAAAATTACATCAGCACACCAATAAGAACACTGCTTTAAGAATGCCAGATTCTGAGTTATAGAGGAGATTAAGTTCATTTTTCACTGAGTCCATCATCTTGTATAAGTAAATTTCAGCATTTCACAGTCGTCTGATATTCCAAAACAGGGTCAACGTAATTAATGAATTTGGATTTGGAAGTGGCAACTCATGGCCATAATGAGTGGCAAATTTTCTGCTTGACCCGAAAACCAGCCAAAAGTTGAGCTGATACTGCATCGACCAGGCTGAAAAATGTCATAGCTACGACATGATCTATCTTTTCTGTTAATGAGAGTACTATTAAATTCCAACTTCAAAAAGATTTTTCACAACCTGTCTACTTCACAAGTTTAAACTACATTATTTGCAGAATACAACGCGGTGATTGTTTCATGCATTCTTTTCCACCAAATTTAAGCTAGTAAATTCAGTTCGCTGATAATATTAGCGTACAACCTTTAGGAATTAATTTTTTCAGTGATCAGTTAAATTGTGATGAAGATCTTAAGTTAAAGCCCTTTAACAATGTTATATGTAATTATAGTGGTATTAATAGAATGTAGGTATGTAACAAAACGGATTTATAAAGAATATAAATAGGTAAGATAGAAAATTAAGTTGGGGCCACTGAACAGTGTTAACGATTTTTTGAAACAGAAAATTAACCTATTGATATTGAGTCTTTTTGTACTTAAGGAGTTGGAATTGAGTAAGTCTCCTGTTAAACACAAAAATGATATTTATGTTTCCTAATTTGTATAGCCTCTGCGAATTTTAATAAAAAAGGAGTTGTACTGAATATTTTGGATGAGCACACTGTATATATCTTTATTTCATATTGAAGAGATGGCCCTTAACCAAACTTTTAAAATTGCTTTCTCTTCTATGTCAAAATTTCTTGGGAATATGCTCGCTGAAATCATGAAAAAAATCATGAAATCTCCTTCTCAGAATAATTAACCAACAAAAAGGAAATTTTACAATACGAGATCGTGAAGATTGTTGAATTTCATTGAAATCATGAACCGAACTAGGCTAGACCACGATTGGAGATCTGAAGGCAGTGACAAAGAAAATAATATGAGAGTTCGGAAAGCTAATTTTTAAAGCATTCATTCACCTGTCAATTTAGATCGTTTTATAATATCATTTAACTAATGACCGGATAACGCTGCTTACTCAAATAGTTCCTATTAAACAGAATCAATGATTTTATCTTTTATGTGGTCCGAGAAAATTCCAAAAATGTTAGAAAACATAGGAAAGTATGATATTTAGTCCAATCTTTAGCTGAAAATCATATCAATAAAGACTCAGTTTTTCCAAACACATGACAAAGATCACCGGGTGACATGATTAGAGGTCAATCGAACAAAACAGATGATTGGAATCTAAAGATATACAAAGTTGGCGGAACTTACAGAGACAACCAGTAGCAAACATAATCATCAAAAAACACTAGTTTAGCTCTTATAGTGTAATTCTGAAAGATTCACTTTCATTTTAACTGGGTACCGATGATAGTGCCCAAGAAAAATAAAGAAGATCCTGTATCAAACCATGTAGCTCAAAATACAAGATTTTGTCAAAAACGTAACAACATTTAAAAAAAAAAATTGCAGTGGTTACGGTTAACCAATTTATGTTTAATTGTCTAAAAAGCATTAATGACAGGAAGTTCAGATTTCACTCATCTTTCTTTTATGTTCAGAAGGGGGTTTGGGGAGATTTTAGTAATTTCAATAGTTGAAACCATGAGTCAATTGAAGCTAAACCACCATGAAAAACCTGGAAGCAATTTCATGGATTGGTTGAAGTTAGACATTACCAACGTTGGATGCCTGCTCAGCGGTCTAATGGTCAGGTCATGGGTTCGAATCTCGTGGGGAGAGCGGGATCGTCGATGCGCGCTGCTGAGGAGTTACATACTAGGACGAAACTACCGTCCAGTGCTTCTACGTTTTCTATGGTGGTCTAGCTTCAATCGACTCATAATTTCAACGATTGAAATTTTTCTAATGTATTTTCAGACGTTTACTAAGTATGAATTGTCATGGATACTAAGTTATTTTGCGGAAAAATCAATTAATTATTCTAAGAAACAAAATCTCCAAAGTTTTATAGAACATAATCAATTCAAAGAAATATTAGCATTTTTATTTAAACATGAGAAAAAATATTTTTAAGCATAAATATTTCTAAAATACCATTATAATAAATTAAGATTAATAACTCAATTTATATCATTATTAAGCTGAAAAAAATAAAATAAAACACCATATTGAAGAATATATACCAATTATTCATTGAAATCTTTGACATTAAACAATTCTATTAGTTTATCATAGAAATCATTCATATTCAATACAAATTTGAATTATTTTCCTTTTATTATTGTTGTTATTGTTGGTTTTCTTTAAATAATGAAAATAAACTGGCAGTACAATTATCAATATTATATCTGGAAATGTAAAATTACTAGATGTGATTAATTAAAACTGTTTTTTTAAATGCAATTTATAATTGAATATTGAACTGTTCATTGAATTATAGTATTGTTTATGATTTGAACATTTAATTTTCATATAATAATTGATAAATAAATATGTAAAATAAATAACTTTTTTTGAATATAACTAAATGTTTGTTTATTTATAAATACTTTGAAAAATTGTTTGTTTAAATTGTTTACTTCATTATTTTTTGAAAAGAATAGAACGAATTCAAATTGAAGGGGAATATTATTAACTAAAAACAAAACACTTCTAAAATGTCTCTTTTTATTTATTTAAATGAATTCAATGTTTTTTTATTGGAAGTTGTTATCGCCTTTTCATGAAACCTGACAACTAGAATTAAAAGGATAGAAAAGAAATAAAATGATTATATAGAATAATGATATTTTTCATTTTGTGGAATAAAATAAATATGTTTATTAAGTATTTATTATCTTTAATTCTATCAAAAGTTTAATTTAGTGAGTAATAGAAAGTATGTTATACTAATTATGAAATGCATGACAAATTTGTATGATTCATATTCAGTTGTTCATTATTAAGATAGTCATTGATTTTCTTGATGAATATAAGATGAACGGCTACTTTAGGACTTATTCCTAATGTCTTTAAGATTGCTTATCTTTTTAGAGTTGTTTTCAGTGTCCCCCAAATGCCCTGGTACTCTCGAAATGATCTCATATGACCATGAGTATACAACCACTGCTAGAGAAGTCCTACTCAGTGCCTTCTAGCGGCATTACTGTCGTTTATGAAATTGAGAGGACGAAAAGCGAATGGCCGGGTTGATGGATACAGAAAGTCCACCTAAAAGAATTGGATAACCCTGATTCCAAATCAATGGAGTACATGGGCTTTAGGATCCTGAGGGAACAAATGGCTACCATGGGACTGCATCTCCTTACGTTGCTCCACTGCCTTGTGGATCAGATCTTTAGGTTGAAAGCTTCGAGAGTGGCCACCTATGAAAACCACCTGCTTCAGTTTGAGCACCTGAGCAGTATCACATTTCACACAAATCAAGTGACTTGTGTGGCGCATATGTATTCGGTGCCCCTTTGTACCAATATTTATGTGTTCAAATAAATAAAAAAAGTAAATCATAAACAGACTTTAGTTGATAGACCAGTGAACATAAGGTAGCATCGGATAACCGATTTATATTAGTTTGAAACTCATCAAGGTTGAGCAGCGACGACCAAGCAAAACAATGACTTTCATATCACAAGACTTTGACTCAATGTATGATGAAAACTATACCAAAGCTGAACTCATCTCTACAGGCAACCAAATAAACAATAATACTGTGACTTTCAGTATGATTATATTGTACTACATATTGAGGAATCTTGAGATAAATTCTGAATTTCTAATCTGAAGTCGTGATCGATGAACTCTACTTATGTCTGAGATCAAACGCGCATCAATAGTGATGTCAGTTGATCGTCTCACTAAATATCTAAATAAATAAATAAATAGGGAAATGTGAGCCATTGTATTCTGTATCCAAAGTTAGATGCTCACTTCTAGACATAAGGGTGATAGATTAAATCTCTGTCGGAGTTCAGGGTGAACATTGATAAAAATTCGTGAACTTTGATGCGGTGATCTGAATTTTTCGGATAATTTATATTTTAAAATCTATTTATCACGTTTCTGTAAATCCCGCTTGGAACCCTTCTAGAATTACTACTGATCCCCAATTCGGATAATCGAGAGTTCGGTATGAGGTTGGCAACCTCATCCCTTAAAAAGGAAACTCACCAAAAAGGGGGTGACCAGGAAGAAAATCATTTACACTCGGCTCTGTCATTTCCAAGGTCTAAACTCATAAGAGTTACAATGTCTTATGCTGAAAGCCGAGATTTTTCATAAACCACAATGCCAATGACCCTTTCTGACAATCGTAATGATAATCAATATGGGTACATAGTGTCCACGCAATAAGGAAGACCGGAAAATTATTCAAATAGTGGCGGAAATCAGAAGATACCAAGTGGCTCTGCTGAAGATAAGTGTAATCCATTGTACACAAGCTGAACAGAAAGACTAGCTTTGAAAGAGAAGCTGCTTTATTTTAGTAATGAAGAGGAAAATGCATCACACACATAAGGAGGTGGACTAATGCTATCTAAAGAAGCAAGAAAGCACTTTCGGATGGTCAAATTATCCTTCAAAGCAGAGGAGGACAGTAAATGCGATCCATTGCTGCGCACTCAGCAATGTAGGGGATAAAAACTAGTTTTGTGTGGCCGGAGTTAAATGTAGAGAACTGTCCAGGAAAAGAGCTGACCAACCTGATAGTAGACCTGAACGCTAAGGTCTCTATGGACAGCACTGAGTAGGAATAAATCATGAAGCGATATGGACTGGGAAGTTTCATGTAAGAAATGTGGACAAAAATGAGGAGATGATATAACTTTAGTTCACCATCTGGTGGTGGCCGAGCTAAAGCCAAAGATAAAAATGCATTGGAAAATTGGACAAGCAACAACACAAAAGTTTAACACACTCCTCTGTCGACATCTTAACAATCTCAGAAAATACAAAATAGCTCTCAAAAACTTGCGAGATCTTTTGTAAGAAGTGGGAATTACTACATAAAGCAACTGGAAAGGGATTAAAGAAGCAACAATTTTAACATGTTATGAGGTGCTGGGGCCAAACAAGCTCCAGTGTGAAGAATGGATTACTGCAGATATCCTGGACAATATTCAAGAAAGGAAAACCAGGAAGATAGAAGTCACCAATAAATAAACAAAAGCGGAGAAAGCCAAGACACAGGATGAATACACAGAGGCAATCAAATGAGTAGAAAAGAATATTAAAGCTGAAAAAACTCAAATACGGGGAAGACATAGGAACGAAAGCAACAAATAACTCAAGAGAATCAAATATGAGACAACTTCGTGATAAAAAGAAAGAGCTAGCAAGAAAATATGCTAAACTAGAGAGACTAGTTAGGAACAAATACGATATACCAACCACTGCGATTCAAGAACAGCAGACCAGGTGGGTAGAACACTTAGAAGAGTTCTTGACTGATCCAGTCCTACTGTACCCACTGGGCATCAAAGCGGAACCTACAGACCTCTCTACAGGTTTTTCTTTATCAAAAATAAGTCAGCAAGGTCATCAGACAAATCAAGAGTGGAAAGTAGTAGTGTGGTCTATGCTATTTATGTCTATCGAAATAAGTAGTATATATCACCAATCAGAAGTGGAATGCCTGGCAGCAGAAGATTGGGAAAATCATATCGAAGAGAACGGAACCAGAGAGTGATTATTATAGTGATAAAGAAACGATGAAGTTTGAGACAATTGATGGACGAGTTGCAAATAGAGTATTAGACGTATGGTTTTTACATTTTATGAAGAACTCCAACTTCAGGATTGTGTAATCGTCTGTCATGTATAAACCTCAGATTATTGTTGAACAATAGATTGCATGGAAGTCCTCACTACACATTAACGTCCCTTAATATGAGAAGGCATTCAACGATGTAGGTAGGACAATTGGGTGGAATTTTTTGCTACATTATGGTGTTTGTGAAAAGATCGTCAACATAATACGGAACTCTTAAGAGGGACCAAATTGCAAAGTCGTGCATAAAGGGCAGCTCTCACAGATGCATTCAAGTTGATGATTGGTTTCAGACAAGACTGCTTACTCTCACCTTTTCTCTTTCTTCTGGTTGTTGAATGGATTATGAAAACCTTCACATCTCAGGGAAAGCATGGAATACAATGGAGTGTTGGATGCAGCTAGACGTTTCGGACATCACAGATAACCTAGCTTTTATGTCCTATAAACAAAACATTCAAGTGAAGACAGCTAGTGTAGCAGTAGCCTCTGAAGCAACACACATCAAGGAGAAAAGCAAGATATTGAAATACAACACCGCCAGCACAAACCAAATCACACTTGATAGAGAAGCTCCGGATGATGTTGAAGATTTCACATAGCTGGGCAGCATCATTAGTAAACAAGAAGGGTCTGATGAAGATGTCAGGGAAATGATCGGCAAAGCAAGGGCATGATTCCTACAACTGAATAACATATGGAACTCACAACAATTGTCAACCAACATCAAAGTCAGAATCTTCTACTGTATGGAGATGAAACTTGGGGAACTACTACAACCATCGTCAAAATGATACAAGTATTTCTAAACAATTGTCTACGCAAAATACTCAATATCCGCTAACTAGATACCATCAACAACAGCCTACTATGGGAGAGAACAAACCAGTTTCCAAATGAAGATTAAAATTAGGAAAAGACGATGAAGTTGGTGAATAGGATGTACATTGAGGAAGTCATTGAACTGCACCACATTGCAAGCCCTAACTTGGAATCTCAAGGTAAAAGAAAAAAGGACATACTAAAGAACCCGTTGCGCCGGGACTTGAAGGCCGACATGGAAAGCATAAAAAGCACTTGGCAAGAACTCGAAAGGAGAGCAAAGGACAGAGTTGGTTGAAAAATTCTGGTCAACAACTTATGCTCCACTATGGGTAAAAGGCATAAGTAAGTCAGTAAATAGCTGAACATGTTGTTTATGGAGTCTTTACCTGAAATTGCATATTTTTTTCGTATGGATAAAGTTATATTTCAAATATTCACCTCTAACAACGATTAAAATTTAGACTAACAAAATCCAGATAACGTTAATTCTTTCATGATCTTCGAAAGGTTCGGCAAATTTTTCTAAAAAAAATAATATTGGATTCACAGATTTAAAAATGAAGGATATATCAAAATAAAGCTCGTTTAAGAACACGGAAAATATACGAACTTCCGAAACGAGGAATTTAAAAAGGATTTTAGGCAATCAAAATTATCACTTACATTAGTTAACCTCCGATCATGACAACTAAGTCATTGGATAACGCTCGAGTAGCTCCTGAAAGACCTTCACAGTTATAAATTCCATCATCTCCTGGTCTTACATTTGAAATTGTCAGGGTACTCACAACAGTTGGCATTGGTGCATTGCAGTTTCTGGGCACATTGCTTATTCTAAAACGACCAGGTTCCTCAGGAAGACATCCCCAGTTGAAGCGCCATATCACATAGGGTACAGGATTGCCTGTGACTTCACAAACAAGAACTACAGTATCACCTCTACGAACAGAATAACGTGTAGTACGTGGTTCGGCAATCATTGGCGGAGCTATAAAGTAGTGATTACCAATTAAATTAGTTATTCAAAGTGATCAAACAGGAATTATACTTGCATACAAACTGAATGCTTTTAAAAACAGTTTGGTTAACGGCAATATTCAATAAGTCATTATTGTAAACACTCGGATAGTTTGTTGTAAATGAAGTGATTAGGGATTATGGTGTGTCAAATTTCACTGAATAACAATATTAGGTAAACACGATGAAGAATTTAGATTTATAATAATCACATACTTTATTTTACAGCTATTGGGACTTGAAAAGATTGATATTCAGATCTTGTTAAGAGTAATGGTGTTACACATGAAACTGATTCATAGTTTATATTCTTTAATTTTACACTGATAGATGATCAAGCGTATGCTTCTGTACGGTTGTAAATAAAATCGTGTCATAATTGACAGAAAGCACCTTAAGTAAGTCTAAATGTCCTAGGTAGTTATCTTCAAATATGCACAGTTGACTAAGTTCATGAATATATTAAAGATTCTAAAGCATCTCTTTCAGGCGAGAATAATAATTTAAGTGATATTAATGATATTTTAGTATAATCTTTATGAAAATGTTGAAGAGTTATTTGATAAAGCAGTTTATTTTGAACCTTATCATTTTATCGGATCATTTTCACGGCTGCTACAAAACAATAGAAGCTAATCTTTACTTACCGTTAAGCATTTGATTATGAACTCAGTTTGATAACTGATAATTAGGCAGAGGCATCTATTAATCAAGCATACTCTTTATTATTGCTCTAAATGACTTATCATTGTAGTCCACGCTACTTCAGTCAGTCAGCTACAACGTAGGACATGCACATATATGCATCAATCCAAGTGGCCATGCCTCAGTAGCACAACAGGATAAACACTAAATTCATAGAAGCAGATACTTCAATGGTAGTAATATATATATATATATATATAAGGTTATGATACAGGAAGAAAGAATTTGTTCGTAGGAAGGTATAAAGTGATTTTAATGTTGAAGCAACTTTAATCTCAAATTTTTGGGGAAGACAAAGAGTGTATGCATCTACGCCATTGTGGTTGATTCTGAGCCATGTCACCTAGAGTTTCTAACTGTTGGTTACAATAGTCAGGCGGACCCCAACCAAGTAGTCCGCATCTACCGACATGGTTCAGGTCAGAAGTTAGTGACTCCAAGGACTGATGCCACATTCTGGTTTGGCCGCCCCTGACTTTCTCCCTAACATCTCCAATACCAGTCATCATCGCGCGCCGTAGTAATCGGTTTCCGCGCATACATAACATGTGCCTAAACCATCTCAGTTGATGAAGTTTCGCAACCTCATCAACTGTTTTACCATCATTCCTTATTACCCTGCATCAAACCTCACTATTATTTACCCAGTGATCCCAGCAGGTGCCAGCAATATTTCTAAGACATCTGTGATCAAATACTAGTAACTTACAATTATCTTCTACTCTTAATGGCCACGTTTTGCAGCAGTGAAGTAGAACAGAACGAACAGCTGCACGGTATAATTGTCCTTTAATTTATAAACGGGTATCTCGCCTTTGTCATAGGCGACGTAAGTTGGCAAAAGCCAAATGAGCTTTATGAATCCGTGCTGAGATTTAGTCAGACACCAACCCATTAGGACTGATTAAACTTCCAAGATAAGTGAAGTTTTTGAAGCGTTCGACCACTTCACTCCACGCCACTTACCATCAAATAGTTTATGTTAAACAATAAATTATTTTTATGAAATAGTCTAGAAGCTTATGAATGTTCTTTGATCAATAAGAGATCTTTCACTTTATTCTCGACTGAATGCATACTAATATAATGTAATAGGAGCCATTTCACTGAACGTAGAATTCATGATTAAATATCAATTTCTGACTGAAATATGTGTTTTATTAAATTTAAAAACAATGATAATAATAACCGATTTAATGATCCTTACACATTTAAACAGAAGATTAAAGTACAAGATTTTCTGTTAATTATCTATAGTTATCTAACAGACATAAAATCTGTTTTATCTGGAAGATACGTTTGCACATCATTCTTCTTAAATTGACATTATCGACTTAATTCAGATATTTGAATTTATTTTTAATCATCATGATGAAGACAGCACTAGTTGTTTTTTGACATCAGGACAGTTTTCTTCTTCTTGACTGTACACCTACATTTCATGCTAGTTGTTACTCGACATTATAACTTATCTAGAATCTTAAAGGGATTATTGCCTCTAATGAAATATGAATTCATATCATCCAATGTCAATGATAAGTAGAATATTTGATAATTAAAAGCATGAAACTCTCAGTTCTGTAAATTATTAATCACCTCCCAAAACTGTAGAGTGACAACAATCATCAATCTTAAATACAAAGCTTCCTCTTGATTACTTCCAACCACTTAACATTAAGGATATACCATTTTTTAAAAGTATCTATTTATTTGCATCAGTTCTACTTTGGATCGTGAAATTTTTAATTACGTTGTGTAACTATACGTATTTCTTTATGCCTACAAACAGAATACCTATGAGCTATTCTCATGATATAATGTAAAAAAACTAAAATCATTTTGTCCCATTGTTACCCTGAAAACACATATACTTCTAAAATATGAATGAATAATTACACAGCTTGAATTAAATGATTGTGTGGTGAAGGAGACCACACACGTGTAAATAACCGGATTTATTTGAATACAAAATTACAGATTCTCTTAGTAAAATCTGAGAACCGTACAGTAAATAATTTATTTGCGAAATGTCAATCAATTGTCTCAGATTTGATTAGTCCTTTATTTTCACACCAATCACACTCTGTTCTAGTTCATATTTCTTCGATTTTCTTAACTTTCTACCGCCAGTTATTTCACTTTAGATTGATAATACATACTACTTATATCTGTCAATATCAATAACATATATCACAATTATAGTGTTAACTTTGTAGCTAAACAAACTATTAACGAATAATTTATTTTAATTAGATTACTATGCACCACAGTACGTATATTAAGTAAATATTTTATTTAATTTAATTATCATTACAATGAATACTTAAATTCTTTATTTAAACAACAGTCCAAGAAATAGGTTATGTAATAATTGTTTATTATTTATTAATTCTCTTTAAACTGGTTTACATATTTTATAATTTATGTTTGATTTATCTTATTCACTTTCCAGGTAGCTGATATATACATAATAATTATTGAAATAAGAACAATTATATTAAGTTAATTTTAATAATTTTGTGATATTTCTTAAGTAAGAAATTAAAAAGGCTACAATGAAGTCATACTGATATTAGTAAATGAACAATTGAAAGTTAGAAAACACAAAATATAAATCTCGTCACAGTTTAGAACATCTCAGTAGTGGACAATTATAACATTAAAGTAAAGGTTTAAATTGATTAAGAATTTGGTTGTAGCTAATGTTATCCTTGTTGATTCTTAAGTGTTTATTGAATTCTGTCAATCTGTGGTAGTGTCTCAAACTGTGAAATCAGTTAATTTGAAATTATTATATTGATTCGTAAGTAAGATAAGTGATTATCACAGATTCATAGAACAGTCTGTTTTTTTCTATTTGAATGAGCTTTATTCTTCCTTTTATTGGTTAGTGGGTTCAGAAAATATATTGCAGATTAAATGGCACTATCATTTTACATCTGGGAATAATGAACATGATATTAAATTAGAAGTCTTTCAGGTTTGTTTATCAATTCATAAGCAGTTTACTAGTAGGTGCAAGATTTGTCTATGAAGCGGGCAGCATCAGTCTAGGGAAACCAAATGTCTTTATCCAAATAGGTACGTTCAACGTTCAACAATAAAACTATCTACTTTCGAAGTTACATAACATAAACTCTCATCCACTTTCAATGGAATATCATTAATTAGATATTCATTTTTTTGTTTCATATGATTTTACTACGGCTATTATAACATTACTCTTATTAAAAATTCAATATTATTGTTTTAATATGATTGGGATTTTGATACAGTTTCTCTTATTATACACGGTAACATGATTTCACTATATTGATTATAAATAACCACCTTCTGATGAATTTTTTACCTCGTCTTAAATGACGTGTCAACTTTACAAAGACACATTTCGGATGTACTTAGATCCTAAAATACCGATGCAAAAGTTCATTCCTTTTTATGTGTAACACTATCTAAGTTCAATTATCACTTATAAGTGTTTGAACTATTATGGACATTATGATACAAATATTATAGATTTATAATTGAAGGGTATGATAATCATGTTGTTAAATACAGTTATCCATTAAGATATTTTTTGTCATTAATTACTACTTATTAAGAACATTAGTGTAAGAGAATCTGTGCATAATTTTTTCTTTCGATTAAAAAGTATTAGTGAACTTTAGAACATTTGATTATTCCCATTCATGTAACATTTCATGACACTGTTGTATTTCGCAATAGATTGTAGTCTAAAATTATAAACATTTCAAAGAAAAAATATATAGGTACGTTGCTAAATGAACAAGGTAAGCCCTAACTTTAAATCGTGAAGGAAAACGGAAAAAAGGAAGGACGAAGAACACACTACATCGGGAATTGGAAACAGATATGAAAAAGATGAATATCAACTAGAAAGAACTCGAAAAGATTGCCCAGGACAGAGTTGGATATAGAATGCTTGTGGGTGGCTTATGCTCCTTGACTAGGGGTAACAGGCGAAAGTAAGTAAGTAAGTAAGTGCTCACTGAACAACTTAATTTTTATTTATAAATAAAGTATAATTTAGCGGAAATTAATCATCTTATTTTCTATTATACTATACAGATTCATTTTCAAACAGTGAACAAATTGGGTTTTTCAATTCATATTTATTTGTCGTCGGGAATCTATTATGTTGTCGTAGAAAAACTAATGACATTTCAAGAGAGAATATTTTTTCAACGATATCCTTAAACCGTTTATAATCCTTTATAATATTAAAAAAATGTAATTCAAGTACATTAGTAAAAGTAATTGAAGCTTTTAAATGACCATGGATAATATTTTCTGCACACCTACATAATTCTGGTCAGAAATTAATAAAATTTCAAACATCAGCTCTAGCATGATATAATAGAAATACTAAATTCCTACATTATTAGATCCATTAAAATTTTAGGCTTGTCACCTTTAGAAATATTTTTGAAAACTCTGTGTTTTTGCCAATGAACAGTGATTATTTAAATATTGAAACTCTAATGGACTGTTTTAACCGAGCTTACCACAAGTTAATTCATCTTCACCATCACTACAGTCTCGATCCTTGTCACATACAAAAGCCATTGGAATTTGACGACCATCTCGTCTACAACTAAACATTCGATCTTGACAACGTTCTGAAGCTCGTGCTTATAAATGAATTGAAAAAAATACTTTATTAAATTTATACTATGAATACTTGGCAAATGTTATGACAAGATCAAAATGTTCAAATAATAAATTGGTGAATACAAATTGAAATACCTAGAAATGAAGTAGAATTTAATAAGGACTTTAATATCTGGATGATTGCATGTCAATGAACACGAAAAAGGCATTAATAGTATTAACTAGGAGAGTTATATGAAGTTATGGAATGGCATTTATGGCACTAACTTTGAATTTCCAGTAACTGTTTGAACTATGCATATTGACTATAGTTTCAATAATGTACATTATTGAGAAAAAAGTAATGCCTTTAAAATCTAGACACTTTATTAATTACCAAGGATAATTGACAATGTCAAAAACTCTTACGCTAGTCTAGTTCAACAATACGGGGTTTAATTTCAAATTGTTGAGATAAAACAAGCCATTTAATTAAATCTAGTGTTAACTGTGTTAGGCAGGCTATATTTTTGGTTTCTGTCTAAAGGATAGACATTTTATTCTGTTTATCATTTGATTATAATTACACCGTGGTTAGAAAAATCATGTGGTCTAACATCAATCGGTTAAGCGTTCGCACGTGGAACTGAAAGCCCTGGGTTCGAATCCCGCGAGCGGGGTCGTGGATGTGAATTGGTGAGTAGTTCCACAATAGAACAAAACGGCCGTCTAGTGCTTCCAGGCTTTCCATGGTGCTTTATCTTCAATTGAGTCATAATTTCAACTACTGAAAAATGAAATAGTTTTTTAAATTATTACTTTGAAACAACCAGATCATGTATCTAGAATAACTTTGCTACAATTTGTTGATATTATTAACACAATAATTGACTGTCATATGAATAACGTTTCCGTCATTTTTTAAATTATATTCAGTTCTACAGTTTCTAAGGAAACTTTATCATATATGATATGGTTTGATAAAACAATAAATCAAAATTTACCATAATCTTTTCCAAAACTAAGAAATAAATAAATTTATTTGTATTTTAAAAAAAAAATTTCAATACATGATAAATAAATTTATTATAAATGTATATTTTAATTTAAAATTGTTTATCAAAACAATTATTGATTTTTTGTTTGTTTACCTTCACAATTTGATTCATCAAAACCATTTCCACAATCGTTTTCACCATCACAAGTCCAATGTACCATAAATGTTGATACTGTCGATTCCTTTCCTTGATAATATTCACATTTTCTTGAAAGTGGATCACAAATATCTAATGAATAATTGATATAAAAAACAAGCAAACCCACAAACAAAACAGAAGTACAGATATTTTTTTGACGAAAAATTAGGTTATTCAAGAAAGTTCAATGATAATTTTCTGATAATCAGATACTACTTAAAAAATTTTTTCAATATATTATTTGAATACATGAAATACTGGAAATCAACTTATGCTGTTTAAATCTGTTATCTCTTCAGAGATTCTACTATACTATACAAGATTAGTAATATAGATGATAATTTTGTCTATAAAAGACTACATTCATCGCTAAAGAGATAACTTTATTGAGTGTTAATGAGAAGATTGAACATTATTGAAGATGTATTGCTCAAATAACAATTGGTCAATGACTATAAATACTTGATTATTAAAGTGATTTCATGACTAATATACCATGTGGACTATAAAAGAAAGGCAATTAGAATATCACTAAAATGTCTAAAAATCTTCGGGTGTATATACAGATTAGTATTGATACACGGTAATGATATATGATGAAACAAAAAAAAATCACAAAGCATCTATTAGTTTTACTTATCTTTCGTAGAAGGTTTCTTTAAACCACTGATTACAATATAATTTGGAACCTAGCCTATATTGTATGGGGGATTTGATGGAGTGATTGAATGAATCTACTAGAAGTTTGAATATTCGTGAAGTTTCTCTTGACAAATTGTATGTTGTGGTTCCGGGGAGTGCTACAGTTGAACGTAGTGGGAAATTTGTTTTGTGTATTTTTGACCAATCGTAAAATCGGAGTAATGATGCATTGGATTTCACTCTCCATTGATCTTGCTTAGATATTTGTCCTGTTATGACGAGCTTATTTAAAGGCTATGAGAATTGGTTGTTCAGACTTTTGACTGGATTTATGTCGATTGGTTTGTATACGCTTTTTTCCTCAAGTAGTTCATCGGCTTTCTTGATATATTCTTTTTTGTCCATAATCACTGTGGTGCATCCTTTGTCCACTGGAACTATCACAATATCTTCTCTAGTTCTGAGCTTCTTTAAAGCTTTTTGTTCTTGTGAAGTCAGTTGGGTACTGTGTTTCATCTGTCGAGTTAGCAGTACCATAGTTTGCCTTATTTCCTGTTGAGTTTGTTCACGTATTCCGGCAGTTTTGAGTGATGACTCTAGTTCTGAGGCGTTACTTGTATTGTAGTTTAGCCCTTTTCGGAGTAAGTGTTCTTCTATGTTTGTTAGCGGTTTCTTCGATAAGTTGTTTGTGCTTTCTTCCGCACATATTATTAGTTTTCTAAGTGTATGTTGTACATATATAAGTAGTATGTCTATATGTTGTAAAATTTTCATTCACATTCATTAACTTTAGTTCTCTGAACACATACGAAAGCCAAATAAAATTCAGATTCTGGATTCTTTTACAATCACAAATGTTCACACTATAGATTTTGTTAAATTTATAATGTTGATGATATTTAGAACAAAAGAATGCTATTGTTAGAAAAAGTATTTTCGCAAAAATCTTTCTCTTTTTCTCCTTCAGGTTAATAATATATTTTTAACTTTAGGCGGCTTGCAAAAGTAACCTCATCAACAAATTTAAATGTAGGCATAAACTACAACGGTCAAAATATTATTTGATTACAGTGTCATCTTGATAAGCCTAATATATCGGTCATTTTATCATGTAAGTAATTATATGAAGAGGATGAATCTAAATTTAGACACAAGCTACCAGAATTTACTAATCTTAATAACAGAGAATGGGTTGGTAAGTTTAAGTTATTCTTTATAATTTAATTTTTTTCAGTCAACTTAACAAATTATTTGTCCTACTCACTGCACATCTTAGGATCCTCATCTGAACCATCATCACAATCCCTCACTCCATCACAGAATCTTCCAGCTGGTAGGCACTGACCGGAACGACAGCGACGTGAACCATCTGGGCAGATATCTTCAACTGTAATTATTGCTGTTACCGGTTTACTTGGTTCCTGTAATCAAAATTTAAAATTAGGGTAAATAAACTGACACAATAATAATCTCATTTAAATGATTGATCATTTTATGTTTTCACTCTTCTTGTTGATAATTTTCTTAAGTTCATAAAAGCAAAATAAAACTACGTTATAAGTAATAAATCACCGTGTAATTTATAATCAAATTTTATTAACAATTTGTATGACCACATAAAGATTGAAAAAGGTTAAGGTGTATAAAATGAATTTATCTCTTTCTTTCTCTTTATGGGAAAATGGATAAACTTCATGTAAAGTAACAGTAAAGTAAATGATCATTAGTCTATCTTTAGTATATTATTAACTTAGAATTTTAAGATAGTTTACTTCAATTATTTGATATCAATTGATGAATAAGTATTTGATATTAAGGGATACTTAAAATACTCTCTCAAAAATTTTAAAGACAAATAATCATTCTCATCCATTTCATTAAACTACGGTTCGCATTTAATTGTCCATCTTTAAAATTTAAATGTAAAAATACTTTCCTATGTAACCGAATAATTTACGGACATATTACAGGAATAAAGAATTGGCATCTCAGATTCTTGAAGTTATTATTCCGCTCAGACTACGTTTATGCAATATATATATATATATATATATATATATATATATATATATATATATATATAATTAGCAACCAATAGAAATCAAACATCTTTTCACGAAACTGATCAATAGTTGAAAATATTCTGTTCGATGTTTGAAATAAATTTTTTTTGTTTTTTAGTCAGTGATTAAACATTTTAAAAGTACTAAGTTTGAATATCGATCAAGAATCGTTTGATTTTCATAAACTGGATTTATATTTTAAAAACTATTCTTAATATACAATAGATTAGTGGGTGACTACCTTTAGATAGCTCAAAAAATAATACAAAAAAATTACTGGTATATAGTTTCGACAGATTGACTAATCATGTTTTGTTCAAGCACAATTGGATCACTGTTGCATATTTATCATGGCCATTTGAAACAAAAAAATATTTATATTCGTCAAATCTATGACAGTTAAAATGATAGCTATTTACCGATATTTATAGAATAACTGGTGGAACAATATTGGAATTCTGTAAATTGTAATAAGTATGTATGCTTAATACTATTTATCGTAAAGATGGCAAATAATTATGGCTGATATAGGATATATCTGTCTTATGATATATGTATTACGGTGATACTGTGTGCAAACCGTTTTGGAAAAGGAGAATATAAATTTGCCACCTTTGGATGAAAGCGTATTTCTAAACTAATAATGCATCAAATATATATAAATAATATAATAATATATAAATATTTATGATATTTTAGTCTTACATCTGAAAGGCATTCAACAATCGTTCCATTTTGATCTGGACCTAATCCTCGTTGCAGCACAAATCTTGCACGGTTTTCACTGACACGTGTAGTTTCGAAACTGATTCTTGAATCTCTAACTCGAAATCGTGGAGTAAATGGAGCCGGTTGTCCATCTTCAGATGCAGCAAAACACTCAAACTCTACTGGTTGATATGGTCGAACAGTCAATCTCTGAGGTGTGATTGTCAATATGTAACTTCGTACTGCTCCTTTGTGGTTAAGAAAAAACAAAACAATTGAAATCCAGTATAAAACATTTAAATATGACATGTGGACTATTATGGCAATCTTTCATGGTTATTTTGTGTAAAACGACCAATCATTTTGGTATCCTAACAGCTTCATGGAACTTGGCATCTTTAATTCTATAATTCCGTTTATTAGTTGATAATCAACTGTTTGATGGATATTTTAGGGTTCCTAAGATTAAAATTTCGATTAGTTGTCTACCTTACACTGGTCAAGAGCTTTTTATTTAATCCTTGAACGGGATTGGTATTTAAAAAAAGACTTCTTTATATAATGTGTTGGGAATAATTGCTGACTTTATAACGGTCTATATGTATCTGAATGGTATCAAACAAAATATTATGATGATCAAGCTTTCTAACACTTACAATCCATCTTGAAATTCTGACTCCTGAATTCCCATTATTTTACGATCATAGAATTTCAAATAAATAAAATGTTATACAAGTGAAACCTTACTATGACATTAATTCGGTTGTGGAATTCAAAATAGTCTAAGCTCCTGTAATATTTAAAAATAATGCCGAAGTAAATAATTTGTTGATATTTCCAAATTCTACAGTCAAAAGTCCTATCTAAAGATCACCATGAAGCTTTTAAGATTTTAATGCAGAATGAAAACATTTTCATCCTCCCACTCCAGCTTAAAAGACACCTTTTAATTTATTCGACTGCAGGAAAAGTGGACATTTCTGATAAATTCATGCTTTCCTTTGATGTATCATCACTACAATCACACTAAAAGAAACCAAACAGATAATAAATCAACATGTTGGCCCACTACTCCTATCTAAAGATGAATTTAAATAGCTTCTACTAGTGTGTACTAGAATTATTCAATTTAGATTCAATAACATCTTATATCGTCAAATTGATGGAATGGCTATGGGTAACCTTCTGTGATCAATACTGGCAGATTTCTTTATGAGATACCTGATATGTACTAGGTTAGTTGATTTTGTTTTATGAGTTGCATAACTATAACATGTATATATTGTTTCTAAATAATTCTGTTTCTATGTTCTTAGTTTTTGTTTTTAACCAATACATACTAACACTAATTAACGTATGAACATCTCTTATCGTTCTTCCATACTTATAACTGTTTTCATTAATTTTATGATATAAAGTATGCATAATGATTTTTAAAGAGTAATACTACTATGTTTAAGTTGTAAACAGCTGACAAGAAACAAAATATAATAAATTCATGTTATTCTGTTTGGTCATTACAATCGTAAGGAAACAATAAAATGTTAGTCTATCAATTGCAATTCATTGAAGGCTATTGTAATATAGTGTATTGTCTTTTGTTTTTTTACTTCTATGAAGTTTTATATTTGATAATTTAATAGAACGATTATTCAAAGTTGATGAAATTTTTATATTGTTTTAAATTAGGATTATTCAAAGCAAGTTATTTGACAAGTTATTGTATGAGAAAGGGGTTTTGTGGATATTATAGTAATTTAATAGTTGAGTTCATGAGCCAATTGAAGCTAAGACCACAATTTTTTATTATTTAAACACATAAACATTGGTACAAGAAGGCACCAAATAGATATACGCCACATAAATCATTTGATTTGTGTGAGGGCTAGGATACTTCCCGGGTGCCCCAACCGAAACAGGTGGTTTTCATAGGGGGCCACCCACGAAGCATTTGACCTAAGAGTCTGATCCACAAGGCGATCGAGCAACGTCAGGAGATGCAGTCCCATGGTAGCTGATGACCAACAATAGGTTCATACGCCACTTGTTCCCTCGGGATCCTGGAGCTCATGTGCATAATTGGTTTAAAATCAGGGTTTCTCAACTCCACTGGGTGGTTCCTTCATATCCACCAACCCGGTTAAAGCGCCGGATATTCGCTTTTCGTCCTCTCAACTTTTTAAAAAGCACCTCCTTTGCGAGAAGACATTGAGTAGGACTTAGCTGGCAGTGGTTGTATGCACGTGGCCATGTGAGACCACCATGGAAAACTTGGAAGCGCTGGACGGCCGTTTCTTTATATTTTCATGAATTTTCACAAATTAAGTTCATGTATAAAGTGCGTATCTATAGCTAACAATTAATCATTAACTTAAGAGTTAATCCAAAGCAATTATCAATTACTTTAATGGATAAATATTTAATTTAAGATTATTTTATTCAAATTTAGCTAAATTACATAAATTGTCTTTAGTCTAACAGAGAAAATCATATCTTTTTCCCATTATTCAAATGATTGTCAGTAACTAAAGTGCAACAACTGTAATATTGTTATTATTGTTATCATAGTATTTATATGTTAGTGACCTTTTCCATTTATCTGCATTATCATTACTATTTTCGATATGAATGTTACCAGCTTATATATGGTTAAAATTAACGTACTGAATGTTGAAAAATACATGTAATCGGCCTATTAGTTTGTGTTAACTTCATATCAACTGTTTTATTGAGTAAAGCGGGAGATTTGAAAGGTAGAAGGAATGTTTACTTATATGTGGAAGTGAAATATGATGAAATAAAAATAGTTCAGATAAACAAAATTAGTCGGATACAATTTTTTTTCTAAAGGCATATATATATATATATATATATGTAGGCGGGAGGTTGGATATTGTGCAAAGTTCAACTTTATGTCATGTATATGACAGGCTATCATGTTTATTTAGAGGCTTTTAGTTGCCGACTATATCTAACATTTAAGTGAAATTCAGCAAATTATATTAAATATTGATGAAGTGTTCCTTTTTCGTTTTGCTGTTCAGTATTATAGGTCTATAAAAAACCAGATCAAGTTAAAATAGTATAATGTTTGAAGTTGTAAAGACTGTTAGATGGAAAGTAAGTGAATTTTCTAACTTACTAACAAAAAGTTTTCCGACAATTTCTTCATTTTGAGATGGTAGTCTGCAAATATATTCACCTTGATCAGCAACACGTGCTCTGCTTTTACTAATAAAACTGGTATGCTGAGCAACTAGATCATCATGACGCATAAAACCATCAGGTGTATTAACATCAAGACGTACACGTGTCGAACTATAAAATGGTCTATAATACCATTCTAATTGACGATTTATGTTACCATTCATTCCATGTACGCGACAATGAAATTCTACTGCTTCACCTTCATCAACTGTATCTGATTTTGGATTGATTTCTAATCCTTCTTCAGCTGTTTAATAAAGAAAAATCTTAATAAGTAAAAATGCATTTTAATCACAAAATATCTTTCGTTCCAACATATAGCTTTTATTTTACTTTACTAGCTAAGACTAGGTTAAACAACACAAATCTAATATTCATGAGTGATTTTTCTAGCAAACTATTGAGCCTACTAAAACAAATTTCGAAATATCAATTCATTGAATTTAATGGTATATAATAATATATAATAACATTATATAGGTTCTATAGATTATCGTAAACCAGAACGACAAGTGAAAAGCAAGGAAGGCAAGGTAATCACCAACATTGAAGAACAACGAAACAGGTGGGTAGAACACTTCAAAGAACTGTTGAATCGACCAGCTCCACTGAACCCACCCAACATCGAAGCAGCCCACACGGACTTCCCGACCGATGTTGAACCACCAACAATTGAATAGATCAGTATGACCATCAGACAAATCAAGAGCGGCAAAGCAGCAAGACCAGACAGCATTCCAGCGGAGGCACTGCAAGCAGACGTAGCGGTGACTGCAAGGATACTCCACATTCTATTCAGAAAGATTTGGGATGAGGAACAAGTACCAACAGACTGGAAAGAAGGACTTCTGGTCAAAATACCAAAGAAAGGCGATCTCAGCAACTGTGACAACTACAGGGGAATCAGTCTTCTCTCAATACCAGGAAAAGTTTTCAACAGGGTATTGTTAAACAGGATGAAGACGTCAACATCTGAAGGGAAGCATGGGATACAGTGGATAGCTAGGATGCAATTGGATGATCTAGACTTCGCAGATGATCTGGCTCTTCTATCGCATACGCAACAACAAATGCAGGAGAAGACAACCAGTGTAGCAGCAGCCTCAGCAGCAATAGGTCTCAATATACACAAAGGGAAAAGCAAGATTCTCAGATACAACACAGCATGTACCAATCCAATCACAATTGACGGAGAAGCTTCGGAAGATGTAAAAACCTTTACATATTTGGGCAGTATCATCGATGAACACGGTGGATCTGATGCAGATGTGAAGGCACGGATTGGCAAAGCAAGAGCAGCATATTTACAACTGAAGAATATCTGGAACTCAAAACAATTGGCAACCAACACCAAAGTCAGAATTTTCAATACAAATGTCAAGACAGTTCTACTGTATGGGGCCAAAACCTGGAAAACTACGAAATCCATCATCCAAAAGATACAGGTGTTCATTAACAGTTGTCTACGCAAAATACTTCAGATCCGCTGGCCGGACACTATTAGCAACAACCTACTGTGGGAGAGAACAAACCAGATCTCAGCGGACGAACAAATCGGCAAGAAGCGCTGGAAGTGGACAGGACACACATTGAGGAAAGCACCGAACTGCGTCACAAGACAAGCCCTCACTTGAAATCCTGAAGGCCAAAGGAGGAGAGGAAGTCCAAAGAACACATTACGCCGAAAAATGGAGACAGAAATGAGAAAAATGAACGAAAATTGGACGGAACTGGAAAGGAAGGCCCAGGACAGAGTGGGTTGGTGAATACTGATCGGTGGCCTATACTCCATTGATAGTATCAGGCGTAAGTAAGTAAGGAAGTAATAGGTTCTATAGAAGTCTGAAACGGATCGAGGTGTGAAAGAAATATTTATTTGTTAAGTCAATGCTATCCAATGTTGTAAACATAACTTATTCGTAATGGGTATAGAATGATTCCTGATTTTTTAAAAAATGTTTTCGTTTAATTCATTTCGATACTACTAATTAAATTCCAATTAATCTTGATATCTTAAACTTTACTGGAGTTTAATTTAATCTCGAATCATCTGACTTGCTTGAAGATCTTGAAAATTAGATAAATCGGAAACTTACTTGATAATTATGTAATACAAATGCTTCATTTTATAATATTCACTTAATAATTTTTATGATTACATTAGAAACTTGTATTATGCTAACATCTCTGTCTCAACAGCGGCCAGACTGCCAGTTGTAATATTTACCGTTTTATAAATCTATTTTAATTAAGACAGTTATATTATATAGTTTTGTTTAAAATGAATTTACTGGTCTTACAAAAGTTGTCTTATAAGAAAATAAGCTTACCTCTAACAACTAAATGTGATTGTTTTATATCACGACCAATTCTGCACTCGTATGTTCCTCCATGATCATATTCTATGCCACGAATTGTCACAATACTTACTCTTAAACGATCGATACGAAATATTTTTCCTGTAGCGTTTATAGTTGGATGATTCTCTAATAATTGATTTTCAAAATACCACCTAACATCTCTTGGATTAGCTACAGGAAATTCGCAGTGAAGTTCGCGTGTTTCTCCAGGCAAAGAAACCATAACTGAACCAGGTGGAGGACTCATTTCTACAAATATAAAACATAAGTAAAGTACATTTAACTTGTTTTAAAGACTGATTAATATATGCCACAATTTTTTCTATAGTTTGTTATGAACAAAGAAACGTATATTGATGTTATGACTGAATAATTTCTTCGTAATTAATAACTGATTTATCAAATAAATATTAAGCAAGCTTACATTTTAAGGAGATAATGAAACATGTTTAATTAACCGATTTCGTCTGTTTCTTAATTTAACTAGCTAATTTCTAATCATGCATACTTCAGTCTTTATCTATGGTTTCACAAGAGTCGGATCTCTTCTAGAAAAATAAAGGAATATTTTACTTTTCAATTCTAAGAGATGTATTCAAGTTTTGACCATAAAAATTCTGAAAAGGGTCCCTCTGTTCTAATTTTCTCTACTTAGATGATAGTGAATGATGTGAAAATAAAATCAATTTATTCAACATGGATAAGTGTCGCTGACATTATCGTTAGGCAGTAATACATTATACTTTATGTGACTAGCTCCGGATTTGCAAAGCACATACGTAATTCGATACATAGACTTTTGACGGACAAAACTCCTTGAATTAATAAATGCAACAAAGTAATGAGGAAATATTAGCTGAATAATTAACTTGTTTTAAAACTTTACATAAAAATCTAAATTAAATAGTTAGAAATTGAGCACGCTTTGTCAAGAAATACTGTAAACATTTCAATTGTCCTGATATGCTTAACATAACAACTCCAACAGTCGGATTTGGCAGTTCAATTATATATGGTATCATAAGAACTGTTTGCTCTTCAAATTAAAGGTGGTCTTTTTGTATTGTGATGGCTGTTTCATCTGTAAATTTATATACTTAGCACGAAGAACTTACCAATTTTTGTTTCTCGTGTCAATGCCAAACTTAATTCAGCTGTTGCATTGGCTGATATAGAAGTACGTGAATATCTTGGTGTCCATTCAGCTCGACATATATACATACCTATATCACGGTACGACAATGAAGTCAAACGTAATGATGCTTCACGATGCACAACCTTGGCATTATGATACCATACAAAACTAATTGGCTCTTCCGGTGGCGGTTCAACTTCACAAACCATTTCATATGGTCTGCCAATGATGACTTCACCAGTAATTGGCCGAATATTAACAATATGCTGCATAGCTATAATGATTGTTAAATAAAGAATGTTGCTCATAATTAATATCATATTGAAATTGATCTGTAGTAATATTGAAAACGGCATTCTTTTGCAAAACAGACATAGATAATTTTCACTTGTTTGGTAAAAATTTGAAATGCTTACATGTAATCAATAAATTATTTAGAAATATTTGTCCAAACATTTGGTTTAACGAGTAACTATGCTCGCCACCATATAATTTTATTTACTCATAGATCAAAAGCCTAAATTGATAATAAGCATTATTTATTTGCAGAATACTTTCAAAATAATAACTTCTAGGTCACATTTACATAACGATTGTTTCTGAAGCTCTTGAAATGGTCAATTTATACAGGCGAGTGATTGCTATTAGTAATTGTGAATCCATTGAAATACATAGGCTTTTTTGATTATATATCTGATGTTAGTATCGCTTTTAGCAACCTCATAGTATAACAATACTAGGAATTTGTAAGATTGTGAGGTTGAATTATTATTTTTTCTCCTAAATTTTATTTTCATTATTCATAGCACAGTCGTATTGTAGTGAATGGGATCTCAGGTGGGAAAAACTAATTTATCCTGTGATTCAAAATTATAGAGTGCCTTGGTAAAATTTGAAGTACCATGCATTAAATCCTTTATTTGTACATCTTCCAACAATTGTCTCTTCCAGACTTCATCGTTCATTCATTCCTGTTTTTACTACAATTACGATCTGATTAAATTTCTGTTTTATTCAATTCGATCTTCTCAACCTTTTGCTGCCAGGCGTTTTACTTCTGATTGGTATTACATGCTATTTATGTCGACAAAAATAAGTAGCGTATAATATAAATTGATAGATAATTTGAAAAAACAATTTCATTTAGAAGTCCATTATCTTAGTATTAATGCGTTAATTAAAATAGTAGAATATTTATTTTGTTGTGAACATTTATATGATAACCATTAAATTCACTAAAAACTAACACCATCTGGAGACTAGGGAGACTAAAATGGCTGCTTTGGAATTGTCTAAGAGTTTACAGAAATATGAACCAATGAATACATACAAAACAAAACGTACTACTTTGAATGTTTTTGTCAAAAATACTACATCAAAGGCAATGAGCCCGAGACAAACGTATATATCTAATTTAGGTTAGTTAGTTATATGATATGATGATAATTCAGTGTCAGAATGTATGACTACTTCAACTACTATATGATTGACTTACAATCAATACTTCATAGTGGAAAGATCTATTTAGTACCCTTTGGACTTGTATTACTTTTCTAGATGATTCTAATCAACAAGTATCCCAAAATACCATAAACTTCATGAACATGATCAAATTTTACTAAAATTTATTTGTAAAAACTTAATCCCAAATAATTATTTAGATTCAAATTTTATTTAACATAACTTTGTCATACATAGACAAATATACTATCTATAACAGTGATTTTTTGAGATAAAAATGTGTTAATCAATACTAGTTATAAATACATTCAATATTCAGATAAAGCGAAATGTTTCCTTTACCCAAAATATATTCAAGTGAATAATACTTATAAAATGAATGATTTTTAAAACAAGATTTTGTCTGTAAACTATTTCAAATACACAAAAAATCACGGGAATTTTCAATGAATTGACATAAAAGTGTATTTCTTTTTTTGCCTCACATTAGTTGATAAGCACTTAAAATCTTATAAGGATAACATTTGTTTTGACTTTTCAACCGAAAATTCGGCGTCATCATTTAGAAGTCATTTGTGACGTTTATTGAATGGCCTACGTTTGGAGAACGACTTCATTCTTTGTTATTTTTTTCTTGTAAAACCATTAATAGATAAATTTGAAACTAATCGTAACACATTTACCACTTCATTGAAATGTAATTCAATTTAGCTTTTAAACATTTATTGAATAATCTATTAAGCTTGAAAAGTTATAACATTATTCAAACAGTCGCTAGAAAGTAGAAAAAATAAAAAAATGAGGGCAAAAGAAAACAACGATTTGTTACTTCCTTTTTTGAATATGAAACTCCATAGCACTACAGTACAATTATATAATAATTAAAATACTGATATATATATATATATATATATATATATATATATATGTCACAAAATACAATATTGTGTCAAGTAATTATTCTGATGAAACTCATTATTTAGGTGACAAAAAACAAACACATCCATATTATAAATCTAATTTGAATTAAAATTTTCTAGTTATATAATATACAACCTTAAAATTATAATTATAATAAATTCTAGTTGAAAAAAGAAAAGGAAAAAGAAAAGAAATGAATTATTTAATTGACAGTTACATATGTAAACTACTTGATTCCGGTAACTACTATAAAATAGAATTTTTCTTGCATTACACAATATAATACATGGATACTTTATATAAATTAGAATTTAACTCATTTTTTCTTTCTTTTTTTCTCTTTTTGGTTGAAAATTGTCGTTTAACTAATTAAAATTAATCAATAAATATTTACATAATTCATTATTATCCACAGTCTAGATGGAAAATATAAAATGCAAACCAGGAACAAAATGAATAGATTTCTTTTTCCTTTTTTTCTTTTTGGTTTTACTTTTTATTTCCATGAAGAAGAATAACAGATGACATTATTGTTTGTTTTAAATGATTAATCATCTTTGTACAAGATTTGTTTTTCTTAAAATGAAAATACACATGTATATATATATATATATATATATATATATATAGACTTTATTAAATGAATAGTATAGTTTCTGTGAATATGTATGTGTTATGTTGCTTAGCGGTTGAATACATATCTACTGGAAACCTAGACAACGTAAATTGACTCTTTTCATATTTTAACATGTTTTTTAACATATTATTATATTTTATGCATATATATATATATATTATATGCATATACTGAATACTAAACACCTAACATGGAACAATTATAATGATCTTTTGACTGGGAAAAACTAACGTACCAGTTATTGCCTATTTATGAGCTAGTTGGTGATGAATCAGCAAATATATAATTTAGCAAATAATAACTATTTTTGTTGTGATATAATCACCATCACTTGAAGTAAAAAGAAAGAAAAAACGCTCATAAATTTGTTGTGTTTTTTTCTTCCTATACAGGATATTCTTGTGAATGTTCCTGTCTCTGTGTATTCGGATAAAATGCCAGTGAATAGGAGATGAATTTAAAAAAAGTAGTTTGAAGAATAAAAACAAAAAAATGTTTTTTTTGAATTGATTGGTTACAGACTTGAAATGTAGTTTTAAGGAAAATATTATTTATGTATACAATAACACTAACAAAACAGACGATAAAAATGACGACAGCAGAAATAACAATCAGGATTGTGAGGAGGATGGTTATTGCTATAACGTTTTGATAATAATTTTGATTAGTATACAGTAACACAATAACTTACATTTAAAACAGTTTAGAACAGAATTGATGAACAGTGCATAAATAGTGTTTCATGCATAACAAGTAAACTGATAATAATAAAGTAACCATAAACTTTAATCATTTTATAATTGATCAGTAATATAGGTATTTTACGCTAGAATAGATTATTATGTGGAAAATATGAGATTTTCAAGGTGAATCTTTACAATTACTATTTTGGATATCATTTATATAAATGAAATAAACCGTTATTAACCAGTGTTAAGCGATGGGAAACCGATTATTTCGAATCTTATTTCCAAATCTACTCGTTGATAGCCTAGTGTTTGTTTTAAAATAAATGTCATATTTTGATGAACAAACAACAAGTGCTGGTGAAAATAAATTTCTGTTACAGATGATTACGTAATGGTATTCTGTCGGCTCATAATATATCTTAAGACAAATGAGTTTTATTTTGATTTGACTTAATATAAAAGTATGCAAATGACTTTTGAAAAGTACCCAACTATAGAATATTTGATTTCATGCATTGAATTTCAATTTCAACATGCTTAGAGTTTGAATTTAATATAATTTATCATCTAATGGAATATTAAAATGAGAAATAGATATCCATATATACGTTATTCATTATCTGATTTAAGCCTATGAAATGAAAATTTGAAACTGGAAATAACTCATCAGTTTATTACAGAAAATCAGACTACAACTCAGATTCTTTAGCCGATTTTAACTGCATTCTGTTTAAGTGATATTTACAGCTTCCGAGAAGCAATTCAATTAGTGTTGTAAACTTATTTTGAAAGTGAATAATATTATTTCATCGGTGTGACCCTCTAAGAAAACCATCTGCTTCGATTTTGGCACCCAAGGAGTATTCCAGCCCTTAAACAAATCGAATGATTTGTGTAGCACATATATACTTAATGTTTCCTTATACCAATGATTATATGCTTTAATAAATAAAAAAGTAAATAAATTTCAGCTTATTCCATTCAAAGAGTAATGTGAAATTATTTATTAAAAGGCTTAAAATAAACATAGTGATATACTTGTCGATTGGTAGTTTATTATTTATAACATTTAAAGTGATACTGGAATTTCTTTTAATATTTAAATTGCACATTTTATCACAGATTCCAAATTAAACTTTATTAAATTGTTACATCATTAAAAAAATAAGAAAAATCGGTCTATTCTTATTTATACTCAATAGCTTTGACTAGGTGTCTTGACACGTCATTTATTTATTACATCATACCTTGTTGACCGTTCAGCATAGATACACGGTATTTGGCTTGGTAAATTACACCTGTTTGACGATTGGTTGCTTCACATGTATAATTGCTCAATTCACTCGGATCTTCAATCTTTAATACGATTTTTTATGATAATGTAATGTATTTTTTTGTTTTTCAATGGATTATCATAGATTGTTATGACAATAGATGTCAATAAATGTATAATATATTGAATGAATGAATGAATGATGATGATGATGATGATGATGAATACAGTATTAACAGTTAAGATGAATGAAATGAGATGAGATGATCACCGAATACATGATGACAATAATGATGATTGATGTAGGGAAAAAAACCAAAAACAAATTGGTTAAATAGTTTGGTTAGTAAAATTAACTAATTTAGTAATTATAGAAATACAATAAATAATAACAGAATATGTAACAATTATAACAATGAAGCAAGCAATATCATTTCATAATAATGTTAATCATGCAAACTAATTTATGCAAGACACAGATTTTAGTAATATGTTAAATTAACTCATGGGAAAGCAAACAAAAAATGATGTTATGAATATTGTCAGCTAAACAGTTAGGTTTTTTGTAAGATATCATTGTTGTTTTATCCATTTAAAATACAACGCCTTGCTTGTAATAAAGTGTATGTGATCTGAATATGTCAGAAGCTGATAGAGCACTAATTTACAATTGATTGATTACTGAGTATTGATTGATGCTATGTATATCTAGTCCTCTAGTAGTGATTGAATTATATCGATCATGTTACATTAAAACAATTATGAGAAATGATTTGACATTGAGTGCACTAGATATCATAGTAATATAAATAGAAACCAATCATGACTGGAATAACTCTATCGTCAAATCTGAAACTATGGAGCTGACTAATGTAGATGTGGATTCCACGAGATGTATTAACTAACTATTGACAGTATAATAATAATAATATAATAACAACTGAATCGGTTTATTTCTAAATAAGTTTTTCAGAATAAAAATCTAATCGTTAAATTTCCTTCGTTTTTTTAAAGGGACAAAATTTGCACCATGTGTCTTTCTTAATCTTTAGTTAACTTAAAAAAACAACGAATTATTCGGATGATAGATGTAAAAGTGACGTTTTATGTCACTATTGATCTTTTCTAGAAAATCAATTTCAATGTATAAAGCAACAATTGATTTATTGATACGTGTTTATTTAATTACTAAAATAAACTTTTTATGTTATACAGTATGAGAGTTAGTTCATTTTAAAATTAACCGAACACATTAAACTATTTTGACTTTTCTTAAATCATTTATTAAGTCGTAACAGTCGTCCAGTGATCCCAGATCTTCCATAGTGGTCTAGGTTTAATGGACTCATGATCTCAATTATTATAATTATTTATTGATTGTTATTTTCATAAAATGTTTAGCTGTACCAAAATTTAAATTATCTGTTTTCTAGTAAAAGTAAACACTGAAAGAAAAAGAAACTTTTATATTTGTTTTAATGAAATATACATATAAATTAATAATAAAAACAACTGAAATGTGATAGATAACCCACCAATAAATACAATGTATCACCATTTGTTACAATACGACCATTTTGATCAATCCAGCGAAAATCAAATAATTCATTTATTTCAGGATCATTTTCAAATAAACATTGTCTCATTATAGTTCCTTGACGAAAATCTTCGTTCGGTAATGGTTTGATAGTTAAATTTAATGTTTTATATTCATCATCAGTACTTAGATCACCTGATGATGCTGGATAATTAATAAAATACATTCTAATATGAAAAAAGTAATTTTTTTTATCATTATTATTATTATAAAATGATCATTTCATGATAAATTAGTAATTATTATGATGATAAATGAAGGGAAGAATTTCAACCAAATTCATGAACTGGTACTTTGAATGGTTTGTTTGT